GAGCATTCAAGAGAGTTGACTTGCCTGATGATTGTAAACCAAGTATGCTGACTACAAAAATTCTAAGTCCAGGATATGCATTACAAATACGTCCACAAATGGCTGAGAACCAAGCTTCAGATATAGCTCCAGCATCACCATCAAGTAATTCTATACTGTGACCACTAATTAACAGTTGAGCATAAAGTTCTGGTAACTTCAAAACAATTTCACTTCCTGGATCATTGACAGAAGAAATCATATAGATTTGCCCCAATTCACGAAAAAAATGCTCCAAACCTAAACTCCTGCCATCAACTTGTTCCCAAATTTTTGCAATTTCATCTTGAATTTTCATTTCATTTTCTTGATTCCTATTGACCAAACTAGATTTACGTAATTCTTCTCTTTTCAACACAGCTTGATTTCGAGCCTCAGAGGATTCCATCATAGAAAGCCTAGATACTTCTCTTTCAAGATGTGCTAGGGCTCGTATCCTCTTGTCAAGAGGTAGTTTTAAAATGTTTATGTACAATGATATTAAATGTTGCAATTCAGAATTATCTTTCCAAATTTGGGATTCATTATGTGGTTTTCTTTGAAGCTGCATTACTTCAGATTATAAAAAAAGAGACAGAAATTAATAAATTACCTAAATAATTGAGGTTTAAAAAAAAGAAGTCTAACCTTCTAGTTTAATGTGACAACAAGTTTTATCTTTAACAAAATCTGCCAAAAGTTGAGACTCATCAAGTTCAATGCCTTCAGTCAATTGAAGTGATCCTCCCAGTTCAAGTTCATTAGCACTGAATGATGAAATATCAAAATCTAAGGCTTCTTTAAACATCATGCGCACTTTTTTTAACATCTTGTCTTTTGTTAAAAATCTGGTGTCAATCATGTATTTCTTTTTGTCTACGTGATTCACCCAGCCATATATTATTTTTTTGGAACCAATTAGAGCCTCAAGTTCATTTATTTGATTATCAGTACATTCAGGCATTAAAAAAACTAAGAAACTAGAAGGAAGTTGCTTTAAAAATTTAATTTGATCTGGATAATCTAAAGCATCACCATGTAAATTTGCAAGTAAAACAATCTCTTTTGCTCCTTTATAATAATTTTCAAAAACTTCATTCCACAAACCCACTCCACAAGTTTCTTGGGTCAACCAAGTAAATTCAATACTTCCATTAATCATATGTGGAATTCCATATTCTGCTCCTGGCTCACTACTTGAAGAGAACATAGAATCTGAAGTCATTAATTGATTAAGAATGACACTTTTTCCTGGAGAGTTTGTTCCAATTCGAATGGCAACAATCAATTTGAAATGATCATTGAAAAGGTGGTTTTCAATGATTGTCCCAGGTTTTGTTTCCCATTTGATAACTGGACCAACAAGCAAAGGAAGCATCACTTTAAACATTTCTTTTTTGTCTAATTCAGGTATTGTCAAGGGGAGTGCAATTGGAAATTGTGATAAGGTTCGAAAGATATCTTGAGCTACAGTGCATTCAACAGAGGCAAGCAAACTAGCAATGCAATCAAATCGAGACAATTGATTTTTCCCAACAACTTGGTCTTCAGAATCAGAATCATCATCATTTTCCTCAACCAAAGTTTTAATATTTTCTGCTTTAAGAACATCAACCCCCCACATTTTAACTTTCTGGCGAATGTAGTGAAGAACATAAGCAACACTTCCATTCCTTTCATGAATTGCCAATTTTGGAGGTGCTAAAATTTTACTGAGCTTAACATAATCACGGAGTTCAATTAAAGGTATTTCTTCACCTAGAATTGGATGCCATTCCTCATGTATTGTTATCACTTTATTATCAATCATAATGTCAGATTATATATATAACTAGGTTGTGATTTGGTTTTTATGAATTGATATGTATACAAATAATTTATTCTCACTATGAAAAAATAATCATTAGTATAAATTAAATTATTATGCATGTATTTTTTTTAAAGAAAAAAAAAGAGATCATCATAAATAATGATTTTCTCATTTTTTCCCTTTTTTAAATATATATTGCCAATAGGACTTTGGAAACTTCTAATAGGATGTAAATATAATGGCGATGATGATGATGATGATAGTTGTGTAGTAGAATGTAATAATGATAATGGTAAAGATTGTGAAAGTGAATGTGATGATTATATGAAAGGTTTTACTGATTGTAATGATGATATTGAAAGTGATGAAGTTAATGAAGATGATGATGACAATGGTAATAATAAGATACTTTACCTCCTTGGATGAGTATTCAAGAAAACAATTATGACAAATAAATAAATATTTTTAGAATTAATTAATCTAAAGTTTGTGAGATGTATTTATGGAAAACAAATTAAACTGTGCATATAGGGAGAAAATAAGCATGAACAAACAAACAGAAATGTATGATAATGTATCAACAGTACAGTGTTGACATTATCTACTAATACATGTTTTCCTCCTTTCAATTCAGTAAAATTAAATTAAATAATAAAAATATCACCTGGCATATTTTCAATATTTTTTCTACTTTGCCACCTGATTACTCTTCTTCTAACAATTTGTAATCCCAGAATCATTACTTGTAATTCGTGTGATTAATTGATTTGCAGTATTAGTATTAATATTTTCATGTGTATTATCCAATCCCATTATATTTGAATGTGAATAGGCCTCTATTTTGGCTATGATTGAAGTATCATTAATAAAAATATCTTCTTCGGGTTCTTTTCCAAGTAAAAAATATGTATCAGTTGAAGGTTTATCATTCAAAATGTATTGAATGGATTAAATTATTTGAGTCATTTACAGATTCATCATTGTTATTGTCAACAAAAAATCATTTAATTTACATAACCTCATTGTTTCCGCAGCAGCCTCTTGATTAATATTTTGATTTTATCTCATCTTCACAATCATTAATAATTAGGTCTGAAATAGAAAAAGATATATGATTCATTTTTAATAATTTTGTAAATGATATAGTATTTTCATAAGCCATCCTAATAGCATCATCTATTTCATTATCTGATAAAGTTGACCAATCAATATCAAAAATATAACCAATAAATATATGATAAGTATAGCATAAAATAGATTTTTAATCTTTAGAAATACTTAAAAAAATTAATATATTACCTTCAGCTGAAGATTTTTCACTTATTTGTGTTAAATTCTCTTGACATAAAATTTTATTATGGTGTGTAATTTTTTGCAATATCTTATACAATTCATAATATGAATATTGACACAATTATCGGATATTCCCACATATTTAAAAAAAACCATAATAATTCTTGTTTTGTGACATATTGACCTATTTAAAATAGCCATCAAAAAGTTCACCTGTTTTAAACAAAAAAAAACATTTTTAATAAATTATAAAAAAAAAATTTAAAATAAACTCACCAAAAATAAACAAAAAGTTCCAATAGATCATTTTCATCATTTTGACATTGTTTTAGAAAATCTGAATGGAAAGGTCTATATGCTACATCATCATCCTATTTATCTGTATTGATAACATCTTTTAAATATAACACAGAGTTTTCTTCATGTGATAATGTTAATATTTGATCATACCTAACAGTATCACTTCCCATTTTTAATAAATGAGATCCAGAATATGCATTATTTCTGCCATTTTTCCCGCAAGTTATTGTAATTTTTTTTTGTGAAATTATTATGTATAATTTTGCGTAGATAACGAATTTAGAATGTCTGAAATTTTTGGGTCAAATGTAAACCAAAAACTGAAAAACCAAATAGAACCGTTCGAATGACAAATAAAATTAAATCAACCAGATTTGATTGGATTCACTATCACTAATAACCATGTCACGTTCATTGTCATCGAAAATGGATATTTATTTCTTCAATAGTTGTTTGATCCTCATCTCTGCCATTATTATTTTTTTTATTTCTTTAGCTATATGTGATTTGCATGATCATGAAGTACTGAGCATCTTGAAAGGGTTCTTGTACAATCACTGCACTTCAACATTATAAATAGTAAGTTTATTAAAATAAACCAATAATAATTAAAGTAACAAGTTAAATAATCAAGTATTATTTACAAAAAAAATTTATATTTTTGTCCAGGAATGTCCGGGACATTTAAAGTAGTAGGTCATAATAATATATATTGTGACCTACTTATGTTAGACTGTCACATACTCATGGGAGTAGACTATTACCTACTTATGTGACCTAAACCGCTTTTTTGGCCACATATCAATGTGGCCCATTCTGAATTTTTGGCTACATGCGAATATTGGTACATATCGATGTGGCCTATTCTGAATTTTTGTCCACATTTGAACTTTCATATATCTGCGTGCCAGCTTTGAGGACTATGCCAGAACTGGATGCAAAGCGTCAGCTTGCAAATATGTAATGATGTAATTATTAATACATTAGACTATTTCGTGACCATGTGCTAGTAGTCTAATAAATCAACGAAAAACATATAAATAGACCTTCTATCTCCCACTTTGCATTAAAAAACTCAATTCGTAAAAAAATACATATCTCCTATTAGCGATGGTGCGTAAAAATCTTTTCCAATTAGCTTTAGGTTATTAACTTAAAAACCCAGGTTAATAACTTAAAAACTATTAAAAACTTAAAAACCCTATAACATTATAATTAAAAATATATATTACTTGTTTGTTAGTCTTTATTAGCATTTTGTAAACATTACAATTAAATTTTATACAATATTAATGCTAATTTCATTAATTTCATCGAAATCAAAACTTTGATCAAATTCAACTTTAGAAAATTCTCCATTATTTTGAATTTCCTCATTGCCTTGCTTTTCAAAATTAGTAATATTGTCAAGCAAATCATCTAATATTTCTTTCCTCTGTAATATCTTGATCTAATTCATTGATATCTTCAATACTATTTTCTTCTACTTCATTTTGCGAAACTTCATTTACTTCAAATTATCAATTGGCATTGGAGTTTGAGTTAAATTATTTGATAATTTTGTAGTAATTAAATGCCATTTGATTTTTGCAATTTTTGAAGCACGAGCATTTATAAGGCAATTACATTTTAGTGTATGAATTGATGCCATAACAGACCAGAAACGTTCTGCATCAGCTGAAGCTACAGGCAAAGAAAGAAGACAAATTGCAGTCATTGAAAGATTTGGTGTTGCTTTTTTTACTGATTTCCAAAAACGAAAGGGATTTTTAATCATTATTTCTGTCCAAAGAATATCTTGATTAAAAGGTTTGTTCATGATTCTGATATTTTAAAAATTCATCAAGAAATTGATTGCTATTACTTTCTGGAAATAAATGTTGAAAAATTGTTGTTGCTTCTTGTATAATATTTGCTGTATAATTGCCATTAATTCCTTTAATTTGATAATATGGATGAAGTGTCCATACAACTAAAAATAAATTTACTGGAAATTTTTGCCAACGAATATTAATACAATTTTGAATATGACCGAAATAATAAAGATTTACCATATGCATGACAATTTATTATAAAAGGGTTAATAACCTTTGATTTGCTCAAGGTTAATAACTAGGTTGATAACCCTTTTAATTTTTAAGTTATTAACTGCCCATCACTATCTCCTATACCATTATAAACTATACATTTTCTAGGAGATGAAATGTCGAATTGGCAATCTGTATTTTGACTTTGTATGTTGCACTCGAATACCGGTGTTGAGGAACGTAGTGCCAAAGTAGTAATCGTGATCTGGTTTTGGATGATGCATTGATCGTGTAGTCTAATAAATGGCTACAAAAACATATAAATAGACCCTCTATCTCCCACTTCGTATCAAAAAAAAATAAAAAAATACACCAATTCACTTTTTACATTCCATTTGAGACACGATGTGCCGAAATAGTATTCATGATCTGGTTTGGTGCGATGCATTCGAATACTGATCGAGATGAGACACGTAGTGCCGAATAATATACCTACTTGGTAGTACCCCAAAGCATAATTTATATATATATATATAGTTTTCTGTATTAATTATACTTAGGTGTAGTACGCTATGTTTTGGATCACTAGAAAGCTTTCTCGCATAGTTGATTGTCGAATGTCATCTCCACTTGGTAATACGTAAAAGCACAATTTTTTCTTACTATTTGCTTATATTATTCTACCTTTGCGTATTACCGAAAATGTGCAGTCCTGGAACACTTCCTCGCATAGTTGTTGCTTTTGGGTACTACCTCTCCATGTCAAAAAATTGATCTATGAATTTGACGTATATACTACCTTTATGTATTACTGGACTGGATGTTTACTCTTATGTATTACCGAACCAAAAAATTTGATCTTACTTTGGAGTACTACTACCTTTACGTATTACAATCGGAAAATCAAATCGCACTTTTACGTATTACTTTTTCATATTACCATGTCAAAAAATCGATCATAACTTTTGCATATTATCGGATCGAAAAAATCAAATCGCACTTTGACGTACCTCTTATCTGAATTTTTACTTTGTTCAGAATTGCGCGTCACAAAAATTCCCATGGTCCAGGTACCTTTGGTATTATTTTTCCGCGATTATTTTTCAATTTGAATTTTTTCCTGCACATAATTCAAATTCTTGCTTATTTTTCTGGGCGCCCACATACGTCTCACAAACTATATAACAGCAATAACCAGTAGAATAAGTAAAGAATATGCCATTAACGGTGACATCATAGTACTATTACAGAGTGAGGATGCTACTGCATCTGCCACATCAGGAATTGCCCATATTCCTCCCATCAAAATTTGAGGATGCGATTTAACTGGAGAGGAAACAATAGATTCTTGTTTTTTTAAGGTACGGTGTCACATAGATCTTTTTCTCTAAAATACTGCAAGCGATCCCAGATTCGTTCTTTCCACTCTCTAGGGGTTTAATTAGCGCGAATTTGTGGCATCCATCAATATTCAGACCATTCCTCATCACGACATTTAGAACCACGTAAATCCTGAATAGTAATCATTTTTATATGACTGTTTAATAAAACTGGTTTAAGTAAAACGAAAGAATTAATTATTTTACCAATTAATTTGTTACAGATGTAATTATTTTTAAGGAACTTCGGTATTGACAGTTACCCTTTTATTATAACCAACACTGTAGTATATCGAAGGTTATTGAATAATTGATTTTTTTTTTAAGCGAGAAATATTTCGTCAAAAAAATGTAGTCAAAATTTAATTTTTTTAAAATTATTAATCTAATAAAACAAAATTTTGCACAGGCAATCGACTATCAATTGAGAATTCGTTTTGTCGGGGGAAATTTACTATGGTAGTTTCGGTTTAATTTATAGGTTCTAATTTTTTTATTATATGTTTGTGCGCGACTTTTGTCGATTTATTCGAATCACAAGGTTGGGACCATCGAATTTTCGAAACGCTTTATACTTAAGCTCTGCTCATCCACTCCGGAATTACAATTATCATTAAAAGTACGGAATTTTTTGCTGATAAAGAGCACCGATTTTATCTATTGTTTGGTTTAATTTTTTGATGGCACAATTATAAGTTTGATAATTTGCTATTGATTTTGTTACTATCAGGGATTTGAATGATTGATGAGATGAGGTGGAGGGTACAAATGTAAGGGAATTGACCAGGAATTTGAATCATTGATGATGAAGCGAAAGCATATTATAAATCATCGCTACTTGGAAAAATATAAGAGAAAAAGAACTCGGTTTAACAACAGTTCAATAAACTTTGGTCGTAACCTATTTTATTTTATAAAATATAACGAATGCTTTAAAAGATAACATATCCGATATATATACTGTATATATAAAAATACGTATAATAATATAATATAGTTAACTACAACAATAAAAATTATTCCATTTGCCCATTATATAAGACCCAAATATCTGAGCTTATTTTCATAACAATTAATCAGTTCTTACGATTATTAAAATCATTCTCTATTTCATTTCTTATATCACGAGAACAACCTTTACATTCTTCAATTATTTCCTTCCATTCTTCTTCTAATGCTTCAATCATTAATTTGTTGGGACGAGTTTCACGTTTACTGCTGCTTTCAAACTGTTCAATAAGTATTTCTAAAAAAGCAATACGTTCTACCCAGAAATTTTCCATCTCATGTAAATTTGAACTTATCTGAGAAGAAACATCTTGTAAACCTTCTGATTTAACCTTCACTTGATCTTTCTTTTCACTTAAAACGGCATCTAACGCTTTAGCTTCTTTTCCTTTTATTGTAGCATCTAAATTTGCGGTATCCGAAATACCTAAGCAAAATACCCCATTTACTGCTGTTAGTGCTGCTGTTGCTAATGCCGCTTCTTCTACTGCTACTACTGCTACTACCGCCATTGGTCCAGTGAGAGCTAATAAAACTCCACCAATAACGCCAGCAGTTACTGATATTGCAGTAAATGCTTTTTTATCTGATTCAGCGGTTTTTTTTTTCTTATTTGTTTTAGGATCAATATTATTCATATTATTTAAATCAAATTTAATCAATTCATTATGAAGTGTTTTCAAATCATCCGCGAGAGATTTAATTGTGGATTGGATAGCTTTTGTTGCATCTTTATTTCTTTTAGCCGTTGTTAAAAGTAAACGCAAAAACTCTAATAAATCTCCGTCAGGAATAGACATATCACTGCAAGATTCAAAAAAGATCATTAACTTTTTACCAAATTTAACCAAACTGTCACATTGATAAATTATGTCAATAGCAACCAAACGGAATTCCGCTCTCTTCTCTTTAATCAACAAAATTTTACTTTCAAAAAATTCATTTCTAAAACCCAAAGTTATTCTACTAACATTTCTCAAATCTCGAGTTAACTTTTGAATTGTGCTGGATAAACGTTTTATAGGAGGGGCATTTGGAATGTCTGTCATTTTCACTTATTTTTTAATTAAAGGGAATTTTTAACCAAAATTTTTCGGAAAGCAATCGATAAAAATTTTTTTTTTCTTTTGGAAAAATCTTATTGTTATAAGAGCTTTCATGAAGTTCATAGCTGCAGTATTTCTTAGTCATCCGTCTAGCTTTACATTCGCCCAAATAGGTGAATTGGCTAATGTAAACAAAATAGTCATCGTAAAAAGATTATTAAAATTTAAAACTTTCCCGATAATAAGAATTTCTTTTGTAAGAGAATTTGGCTCAATTAAAGTTTTACGTAAAACAATTAATGGGAATTTCTTTTTCTTTTGTAAGAGAATTTGGCTCAATTAAAGTTTTACGTAAAACAATCAATGTGAATTTCTTTTTCTTTTATAAGAGAATTTGGCTCAATTAAAATTTTACGTAAAACAATTAATAAGAATTTCTTTTTCTTTTAATAAAATAAGGCCCTTTCTAAAAATGACAATTTGGCTCGATCAAGAGCAACTCACATTTTTTTTGGTTAGAGATTCAATTTCATACTAGTACACTATTATAGTTTTTGTGCCATTTTCACAAGATATATTATTGAAACCAGACTAGTATCAACACCAAGTAATTTTATTTATCCTTATTCTGTCGTTGAGATAAGCAACATCATTCGATTACACTACTCTCCCGATTAAGATAAATAGTCGCATTTATAAAAATAAAGATAACGTAACTGGACATACTGAATTTCTCTATATAAGGAAGGGAACGTATGTTTTCAACAGTTAATGATCAAAATGGCTTTGATTGAATTAAACCAATATGAAAATTTAATATTTCCTAATCTTGATATCTTGCAAAAAACCTTTGAAAATATACTTGGATCTTTTCGACATTTAAAACAATTACACATTGAATATTCTGGCATTGATGATGATACTAAGCGATTAGATGACTTAAATCGTGAGCTCAACGACTTTGTTGGTATAAGAGCCAAAGAATCTTTAAAAATGTCAATAGATTTGGAGCATTTCATAAAATACTTTAAAATGATTAAGGAAGGTGATGTCACTGTCAATGACTTGTTGGAAACATTATTATTGTTAAAAGATATTGCAGAAAAAAGAATTGATAAATCTGAGGAATTAAAAACTGAATTTGGAAGTATTAGAGAATCCATATCAACTTATATCGCTAAAGATTTTAATATTAGTCAACAACCAAAGCTCGTAAAACGATATCAATTATATAAATTCACAATTCCCTTCTTAACATATTTTTTCTCACCTTACATACCATGGTATCAAATTTTAAATAATGCATCAAATAATTATTTTTACTTTAATTTACAATCCATTCTAGCCTTAGCGGCTTTGGTTCCATGTTTATTAGATATATTCAATAGAAAGAATGGAGTCATTATGATGAATAGTGAAGAACAAAAAAAAGTAAAGAAATACGAGGAAAAAATTTCAATAAATTTACCAGTAATTTCAACACATTTAGAAACATTGACACAGTTTTGGAAACAACAATTTAATATTTTTGAACCACACATCATTGCATTAAAATTGATGGATGGAGATGCGAATATTAAGTTATCAAATAATTTAGCAGCTGGGATCATCAAAAAGTGTACAGAAGAAAAGGTCCATTGCAAAAAATTTGATCAAATGTTAAGAGATTGTGTTTTTATAAATTATGTTCCCATTCATTAGATTATTTTAGTAATATTTGAATTTACTTTAACATCAATGTCAAATATTCATAATTACTCGATCAATCATTTTCTTACGTTAATAAAGAAATATGATATTATTGATTTTCCATAAATGTGTATATTATCGATATAATATATCATCTATAATTATTTTTTTTAAAAAAGATTTTTCTCTTATTCTCTTAAATAATTTGCTCTTTAGAAATTCAATTAAAATTTAGTCACGTGAATTATAATGCTTTCGAACTTTCATCCGAAACATCAGTTTTTTTTGTCTATCAGGTTCAATCGACAATTAATGTATTTGTAAGTATATGACATCACTCTCGATTTGTTATTGCTTATATATTTGTTTTTTACATATTTTTTAATTCCTTCTGTTTAGAATTCTAATTAATATTCTGTTAGTGTTAATATTGTTGGTCCCTCGTTTTATGTCAACCTCTTCTAATTTATTATTAGTTTTAAACAAAAGAGTTTATCATTCTAAACCATAATGATTTAATTTCGAATAATTTTAAATTCATGCTACTCTGTTTATAAACGTTAATTGTCATGCGCATTTATTTAATATTTAATATCTAATATACATTCATTTAGATAAGGATTATGTAATAGTTTATAAATAGCGAGTAATGATACATTCATTAATCGATAGGATATTTATTAGAGGCTGTAATCGACTACTAATACTAATACTACTAATACTATTATTATTATTGTTTTGACCAATTACGATTTTGGAAAATTTCTATGCGGAAGAGTATCAATACCATCAATATGTTGATGCGACAATAGTAGTGGTGTTGTTGATGATAATTTTACATGCGAATGAATAAACACTTTCAATACAAGGTCCAATAGTTCATTGGCTTCAAGTTCCAATGATTTAAGCGGTGGTTCTATAAGACCTTTAAAAAAACGAATTCAAATAGAAATGGAATATTATTATTATAAAAAAAAATTTAGTCGACTAAAGAAATTTTTGACCAACTAGTAGTCGACTAAGGATTTTTTGAACGATTCCAACCTCTAATATTTATGCTGTCTCAAACCATAGGTGTATTTTATTACATTGTAATTATAACAAGAGATTTCACCCTAATGTTTTGCTGAATTTATTTACAAATAAAAAAATTTGCCAAGAATATGTTTATTTCATTGTCTTGAAAGCAATGTTAGCAACAAGTCTGGATGCCTTGGGATGAAATAAAATAAAATTTGTTTCTTTGCAGACAAGTTTTTTTTCTCTATCTTTACCAAAAATGTCATTCATACTTGTTCCTTCATTCGTTACACTAATATCATAGTCAATGGTAGTAACTGATATCAAACAAACATGCTTTAATCTAAAATTATATACATGTTAAAAAAATAATTAAATAATTAGCATTTAGTATTTAAATATTATTAATGAATCAAAAATTATTACAAAATTACATATGATCCCATTCTCAATATAAAATTTGGAACACGTCACAAAGAAAACTTCATTCCCGTTAATAATTTCTGGAACATATTTAGTGGATTCTTCAGAAATTGGCCGAAAGATTATATACTCCAAATCGAAAAACTCTTCGCCTTTTCCTTTTGGTTCACCTGATATAATTTTATATTTGTCAGTAAATTTTTCTTTATGGTTATTAACAATAATAATACCAGTTAACTGACTTGGCATTTTTTTTAAACCCTTTTTTTTTTCATTATTATTATCATTGAATTTTTACCTAACTTATGAGCTTGAATATTTTAAAAAAAAAAATAGAAATCAGTGGGCGTCTTCACTAAGGATACTGGCTGCAACTTTTGATGATGGTTGCTACCACCTTTGCGTCATATAAAAACGATTGCAACCGCCTTTACGACCATTTTGTTTCCTTTTTTAGATTGCGACATGGAACACTTAGTCTTCACATGCACTACTTTTCGGGATAGGATTATACTTTTAATCTTAGGATTAAATTTATTAACGAATTTAAACTACCTACCATAGGTGGTTTACAGAAACTGAACAAATTCAATCCAAATGACACGTGAAGTAATATTAAAAAATAAAAATTTTAATCTAAATCCTATCCAAAAATCAGCACATGTGAAGACGCCCAGTGTAAGCCATTTAATACAAAGAATAATTAATTAATAAATAAATATTTAACATTAATAATGAACATACTAATACGTATGTAAACTCGATAAATCGGTCGATCTATATAAAGTTGCGATAAGCACTAAGTCGGTCAATCACTTTAGCCCAAGTATAATTAAATGAATCACGATAAGTCGGTCTCACGTGATATTTCATTATGTGAAGGGTCATCATTACTATTTTAGTAATGCGTGATTTAATAATTTTTTATTCATAATTAGCAAAATGATTATTTGTAATAAAATATCTGATGTAAAAAAACTATCATTTAGAAGGAAGAGAGCATATTTTATTATCTCTATCAGTTATAATGCATAATCATACATCCATTTTTTCTTGTCAAGTAACTTTAAAAAGAGAACTTTTTACGCTTTAATCATTTGATGATTTATCATAAATAATGCATTAATATTTTATTATCTCAGCAGTTGTATCATCGATTGATTGATTTTATCATTCATTTATCATGAATAATGCACTAATATATTATTATCTCATCAGTTATATCATCAAGAATTTAGAAGAACATTCTTGTCTAATCACGAAAAATACATCTGTATTTATTTATCTCATCATTTTTATCTCATCATTTTTTATATCATCACTTATATCATTGATTATCTAGTGTGAAAAGACAAATAATTTAAAAAACCACGTGAAATTTGATAACTCGGTTCTCTCGATAAGTCGATCACAGGGGTCCGCTCCGACATGACCGACTTATCGAGTTTACATATGTAGTTTGGGCAATTTGAACTATGAAATTATGGGTATGGGTAATAGTAAATCAAAAAATTTTAAAATAGAAAAATAGGTAATTGATATAAAAAGTTTTTCATTTAATATTAATGCTAAGTAAAATTTTCTAAAGATCTGCTTATTATTAATTGACGAAAATTTATTATTTCACAATTACTTCCAAGTAATGTTTTATTTTAATCTGCTTTTAAATAAAGATATATTGGATAAAGATCTAAACGGTTCGGTTTCGGTTTCTAAAAAGCCAAACCGAGAAATTTTGAAGCTTTAGATTAGAAACAATTACCATTTTGCAAGCCCTTAGTATTCTAATTTTTGCACTGCTTATTTAGAATCTTAATTTCAAATTTAACAAACTTATTATAGCGACTAGTGTCCCAGTTGAACGAGTTTTCTGGAGGCTTTGTAGCTTAGAAACTGAAACAATAAGAGTTTGCATGTGTTTAAAAAGTTGGCGGGACAATGAATTTTATATATGAATTGAAAATAATAGTATTTCCATTCGAACAAGGTTTATTCGAATTATTTGTTTTATTCACTATTACTATTACTATTACTATGAATTTGAGCATTCGAATTACATTGAAAGTTTAGCCAAATAAAAAATAAAACGAATCAAACAAACAATTCGAATAAAACGAATAACTGAATAATTCAATTTATATTAACATTAAGAGTAATTCAAATAAGGATTTGTATATATTATAAATAGAGGCTCAAATTTTTGTGGTATACATCTATGAATATATGTAAAGATAATTCATAACTGACCAGCTGCATCTAAACATGGTATTATGTATGAAATTCGATCATGGTCTCCATTCTAATTTTGGACCTTCGCTAAAATTATAGGCTATGTACGTATATCCTTACAGCATCTCTACTTCGCAACACGCCTTCGCTACAAGTTAAAATGCACCGGTCAAATGTAAACTGAAAACCGAACCGAACTGTTCAGAGCTTTAATATTAAATAATTTTTTCAATGGTTACATATGAAGTCTTATATGGTAGAGCTTTTAATTTTTTGACATGTTATATGCCAAAATGAGTAAAGGAGAAAAATATTACATGCTAATAGTCTGGATGTTACCTCAATTATAATAATCCATGTATGCTATAAAAAAATATGCGCAAGAACTATTATTATAATTTTTTTGATAAACTTTATAATCTAAAAGAGAATTAATTGTACTTCACTCTACACTACAACTTGAAATAGGAAGCGATTGTAGTATAACGTAAGCTTTAAAATACCTACCAATATTGAATTAGATCAAGATTACTTGAAGATGCGTTCACAATAAAATTCACATTCTATAAAAAGTTCATTGCTTGGATTTTGTACATTATAGTGGCAAATATCTTCTTCTTGACGTATTTGCGTAAAGAAGAAGGAACGATTAAATAGTATTTTATCAGTTTGCAATGATGAAAAGGTATCTCTAAACACAATTAGATGGTCTTTTGATCCTGCATATATAGTTACTTCTTCTGAATTGCGTGAATTTGAAATCTGCATGTGAATTTAAAATTTCAATCAAACACCATATACATAGCCTTTTTGGGTTGAGTGGCAAGAGAGATTATTTACCGATGTCTATATATGACAATCAATCATGTGTATTATGCATTATGCATTATGCAAAATGCATAATTTCATTGTCCACGAGTTCAATAATTATGATTTTGATCTTTGTATAAAAATACATATTTGGAATCTATCTGGATTTAATCCGGATTAATGATCCAGATCCTAGTTATATATATATATATATATATATCAATTTTATAACTTCACATTACACGATCTGACATTATGATTGATAATAAAATGATAACAATACATGAGAAATGGCATCCGATTCTAGGTGAAAAAATACCTTTGATTGAACCCCACGATTATGTTAAACTCAGTAAAATTTTAGCACCTCCAAAATTGGCAATTCATGAAAAGAATGGAAGCGTTGCTTACGTTCTTCACTATATTCGCCAGAAAGTTAAAATGTGGGGGGCTGATGTTCTTAAAGCAGAAAATATTAAAACTTTGGTCGAAGAAAATGATGATGATGTTTCTGATGAGGAGTCGGAATCTTCTGACTTGGATTCGATGGATGAAGACCAAGTTGTTAGGAAAAATCAATTGTCTCGATTTGATTGCATTGCTAGTTTGCTTGCCTCTGTTGAATGCACTGTAGCTCAAGATATCTTTCGAACCTTATCACAATTTCCAATTGCACTCCCCTTGACAATACCTGAATTAGACAAAAAAGAAATGTTTAAAGTGATGCTTCCTTTGCTTGTTGGTCCAGTTATCAAATGGGAAACAAAACCCGGGACAATCATTGAAAACCACCTTTTCAATGATCATTTCAAATTAATTGTTGCCATTCGAATTGGAACAAACTCTCCAGGAAAAAGTGTTATTCTTAATCAATTAATGACTTCAGATTCTATGTTCTCTTCAAGTTGTGAGCCAAGAGCAGAATATGGGACTCCACATATGATTAATGGAAGCATTGAATTTACTTGGTTAACCCAAGAAACTTGTGGAGTGAGTCTATGGAATGATGTTTTTGAAAATTATTATAAAGAAGGGGCAAAAGATATTGTTTTACTTGCAAATTTACATGGTGATGCTTTAGATTATCCAGATCAAATTAAATTTTTAAAGCAACTTCCTTCTAGTTTCTTGGTTTTTTTAATGCCTGAATGTACTAATAATCAAATAAATGAACTTGAGGCTCTAATTGGTTCCAAAAAAAGAATATATGGCTGGGTGAATCACAGAAAAACCATAGACAAAAAGAAATACATGATTGATACCAAATTTTTAATGAAAGACAAGATGTTAAAAAAAGTGCGCATGATGTTTAAAGAAGCCTTAGATTTTGATGCTTCATCATTCAGTGCTAATGAACTTGAACTGGGAGGATCACTTCAATTGACTGAAGGCATTGAACTTGACAAGTCTCAACTTTTGGCAGATTTTGTTAAAGATAAAACTTGTCGTCACATTAAACTAGAAGGTTAGACTTCTTTTTTTTTAACCACAATTATTTAAGTAGTTTATTAATTTCTGTCTCTTTTTTTTAATAATCTGAAGTAATGCAGCTTCAAAGAAAACCACATAATGAATCCCAAATTTGGAAAGATAATTCCGAATTGCAACATTTAATATCATTGTACATAAACATTTTAAAACTGCCTCTCAACAAAAGGATACGAGCTCTAGCACATCTTGAAAGAGAAGTATCTAGGCTCTCTATGATGGAATCCTCTGAGGCTCGAAATCAAGCTGTATTGAAAAGAGAAGAATTACATAAATCTAGTTTGGTCAATAGGAATCAAGAAAATGAAATGAAAATTCGAGATGAAATTACAAAAATTTGGGAAAAAGTTGATGGCATGAGTTTAGGTTTGGAGCATTTTTTTCGTGAATTGGGGCAAATCTATAAGATTTCTTCTGTCAATGATCCAGAAAGTGAAATTGTTTTAAAGTTACCAGAATTTTATGCTCAACTGTTAATTAGTGGTCACACTATAGAATTACTTGATGGTGATGCTGGAGCTATATCTGAAGCTTGGTTCTCAGCCATTTGTGGGCATATTTCTATTCTATATCCTGGACTTAGAATTTTTGTAGTCAGCATACTTGGTTTACAATCATCAGGCAAGTCAACTCTCTTGAATGCTC